CTTGCTGGCTTCTGCCTACCACACCATAAATTGTTTCTCCTTTGTGATGCCCCTTTGTCATGCTGGTCTACCTTGAAATCAGCTAACTATGGACTGAAATCTCTACAAATTTAGCTGAAATAACCTTTACCTCCCAACTTGTGCATGTTGGGTATTTTGTTCCAACAATGAGAAAAGTAAGTAAGATAACAGGCAAAAGAACTATGCAAAGTAGACATAAAAACAGCTAATAAGGAGGAAAGGGAAAGTAAAATTAAGATGTACTATGTTCACTCAAGTACAATCATGTATTGCAAACATCTACTAATAAAAATTCTCTAAAAAGTTTTTAAGTGGCAATAAGCATTCAAAAAAATACTTCACACCATTAGCTACAGAGAAATACAAATCAAAACCACAATGAAATATCCCTTCACATGTACTAGGATAGCTATGATCAAAAAGTCTAAGCCAAGAGCAATGGCAGGAGCGCTGTCATCCTAGCACTCTACGAATCTAAGGTTCACAAGTTTTAGCCTGGACTTAGTAAGACCATGTCTCAAAAAAAAAAAAAAAAAAAAAAGTGATGGGGATATAGCTCAGTGTGAAGTCCCTAAATTCAATCTCCATTACCACACACACACACACACACACACACACAAAAGGATTAATGAATAAAGAAAATTTGGTACATATACACAATGGAGTACAATTCAGCTGCAAAAAAGAGCACACCACGTGCCTGCACTTCCAGCACTTTCGGAGCCTGAGGCAGGAGATTAGAAAGCCCAAATCCTGTACAAGCAACTCAGCAAGATCCTGTCTCAAAATTTAAAAAACAAAGCTTAGTGACAGAATAGCTATGGGTCTGAATCCCAGGACCAGAAGGAGGAGAAAAAAGAAGACAATAAGGACAGGATAAGGATAAAGACAAAGATTAGGACAAGGAGAAAGAGAAGAGGAAGCCATCATCATCGGTGCATGAATATGGATGGAACTGGGGATTCTAATGCTGATTAAAACAAATACCACATGTTTTCTCTTGTACGTAGAATCTAAAAAAGATGACTTAAAACTAGAAACTATTATTGGACAAGAAGGGAACCAAAGGTGTGAGGAAGGGTAATGGGAATATGGACATAATCAAAATGTATTACATGCACATATGAAAATACCACACTGAAACCAGTACTTTGTAATATTAATAGGCAGTAATAAAAAAATATATTTAAAAATAGATAGTGGCAAGTACTGATAAGGATGTGAAGAAATTGGTACTATCATTATCTTAGTTATTTTCTTAAGTTACTTTCTTATTGCTGGGACAAAATATTTTAACACTCACAAATTGAGAGGTGTATTTTATGTCACAGTTTACAGAGATTTCAGGCAACAGTCAGGAAACTCCAACCCTGGAAAGCATGGCAGAGGGACATGGCAGAGGAAAATCAGCTCGCAGCATACCAGACAAGAAGCAGAGAGCAATCAAGGGAAAAGGAAGAGGGATATATCCTTCCAGACCACAACCCCAGGGGCCCACCCACTCCAACCAGGCTTTACCTTCCAACATCACATTTAACTGTAAGTCCATCAGTGCACTAATCCCATTATCCAGTCACCTCCCAAAAACCGTATGAAGCTTTAGAAGAACATCTAGATTTACACCATACCAGTCATACATTGCTAGCAGGAATGTAAAATGGTGCAGCTACTCTGGAAAATTATCTGGCAGGTACTTAAAAGATTAAATATAGAAAAACTATGCGTTACAGCAATTCTACTAGATATATATATCCAGGAAAAAATAATCCATACATCCACACAAACATTTGTATGTAAATATTTACAGCAACATTTTTTTTATTTAAAGAAAAAAAAAGATAAAAAGGGTAGAAACAATACAGAGTTTCAGAAAAATAAACAGTAAGAAATCACCAGTCAATAAGTTACATACCGTCATCTTAGAAATAGTATAGCAACATCATTTCTAACAGCCAAAAGATAAAAAACAAAAGTCCATCAGCTGATGAATGAATAAACAAAATATTGTTATGCATAAAACAAACTACTGGTATTCAGCTATAAAAAACAAACTACTGGTATAGACTATATTATAGATTAATCCTGAAAACAATATGCTAAGTTAAAAAAGTCACAAGAAATATGTATTCCATATATGTGAAATACACAGAATACATATATCTACAGAGACAAATACAGTAATAATTGCTTAGGGCAATGGAAGACAGGGAGGTATTAATCAAAGTGTACAAGATTTCTTTTAGAAGTTGGAAAAATGTTCTAAAGTCAACTATGGATAATGATAGTCCCTATCTATGAATGTAATGCCATTGAATGGTGTACTTTAAATTGTATGCTATGTGAATTATGTATTACAGCTGCTAAAATGCTTTCAAATAAGTCAATTAAGCACTCAACACAGTAAGTGAAATAAGAAAATCAAAGTAAGCCTAAGGAAAAAGTGAAAGATGAAAACTGTACTGAGTTTTTAAAAAGGAAAAGGCGGCAGCTGAGGTGTAGTTCAATGGTAGAATATGTCCCTACCATGTACAAGGCTGTAGGTTCAATCCCAGCATCGCGAAGAAAACAAAGGAAAGCAACAGAGTTAAATTTATATCCCAGAGCTGTTTCCTTGGGTGAGAAGGAATGAAATAAACCTCCAACCAATTAAATAAACAGAAAAAACGTAATTGCATAAAATTAGGAATGAGAATATTGCACATAAATTGAAAAATAAATACTATATAATACTTTATTATAATTAAATAGAAACCCTTGCTGAATGATTTCTAGAAAATCATAAATTACCAAGATAAACTCAATAAAAGTTTATGTGAATAAGACTACAACCCTGAAAGCAATCCAAAAACACAGTAGTTTCACAGATGATATTTTTCAAATATGAAAGAAAAACTTCTATATACTTTAACTGTTGCAGGGTATTGAAAAATAACCCTAATATTTTTATGAAAGTTGCATAAAACTGACAAGGTGAATGATTCAGGCCTGAGTTTTTCTCTCTCTCCTGTGAAATGGTAACCTGCAGAGTAGGGAAATGGTGAACATGGGGTTGGATCCTGAGGGAGGAAACAAAGATTTCCAAGCACTGTTCATGACTTCACCAAAAGTTGATACTGTACACCTGTAGTTTCAGCATTTGGTAGGCTTAGGCAGGAACATCATCATGATTTCAAGGCCAGCCTGGACTACACAGTGAGTTCAAGGTCACCTTAACTACAGAGACCTTGTCTCAAAACACAAAACAAACAAACAAAAAAATTGGTGTTATGCCTTGTATCTAGACTAAATGTTTCCTAAAACTCAAGGGCTCATAGGTGGGGCTTTTAGGAGGAGACTAGATCATGAAGGCATGTTACTCACCAATGGACTAGTCTACTGCTGAGTTTGCAGCTAAATGTAATGTTAGCAGGTGAAGCCTGGTTAGAGGAGGTAGGTCACTGGGGAAGTGGCCTGGAAGGATCTCTTCCTCCTTTTTTCCCTTCTCCTCTTTGATGTGTCCCTCTACTTCCCACTGCCATGCTGCCCTGGCTTGGACTCAGCTGATATTATGAAATGAAATCTCTACAAACTGTGAGCAAAAATGAACATTTGCTTCTTAGCTTTATAGGTGTTGGGTACTGAGTCTCAGCCACACGAGACCAATAATTTCTAATGATTCAATCCACAGAACTAAATTACCTGTCTCAGCCTGGCTCAATCAAAAGAGGAAGTATCTGAAATGATCACTGTTAAATGGTCTGCAAGGACCAACATGAAAACAAAACAGCAAAGGCTCTAAATTACCCAGTCCTCGAACTCTTAAAAAAGACTAAATTGTTAGACTTGTCACATTCTGCTTGGAATTTAAACAGTTCCATGGCTTAGTTCCCAATAAAAGTGCTATAAATTTAATAGTCCACTTAATAGCCTTATAGCCACCACCAGAACATCCTTGTTACCAAGTGGGATACATTGGAGAATAAATTGTATACTAGAATTTTGTCATTTAACTTGAGAATACACTGAATGAAAATTATCCTATTATTTTGACTCATCCTTTGAATACTTTACACTCCATTAAATCCTCGACAACAAACCAGATGTGGATGGAACTCGCCTGTGATCCCAGAATTTTGGAGCCTGAGGCAGGAGAACTATTACTCTTTAGTCATTACCAGACTATGACCACACTGCTATATACAATATGACAGTCACTAGCCAAGCAAGGCTGCGAGTACCTGAAAAGTGTTTAAAACAATACCAGAGGCACTGAATTTCTTTTTTCCTTTCTTTCCGTTTTCTTTCCCTTGCCTTTCTCCTTTAGTTTCCCTTCATTTTTTTCTTTCCCCTTTCCTTATTCCTTTTCCCTGTTTTCCACTGTTAGGAATGGAACTCGGGGTTTTGCAAAGGCTAAGCAAGTGTTCTACCACTGAGTTACACCCCTAATGTAGAAAGAGCTACATCAGCTCTTTCTGTACTTCGTGCTTTCTAGCTTTCCAAACTGTTTGTAGCTGCATCACAACTTCTTGCATTCTAGGTCCCTCCCATGGGCTGGAGACTCCTTTACTGATACAAAGGAAGGTTCTCAGAAGCGCAGCTGGCAGGGAGCCCCAAAAACAGATCTGGTGTACCTAGTCCACAATATTTCCTCAGGGAAGTACTGCACTTCACTTAAACTAATTGCTTATTATCTCCCCAACAAGATATTCCCTGGGCAACCAAGCTCTCCAATCCTACCCACCTCCTAAAAAAAAAAAAAAAAAAAAAAAAAAAAAGCATTTAACTACACGCTCTGGGAATACGGTCTCCCATGAACATCTGTTGTAGTTCAAAAGGCTCGGGACCCAGCTAGGGGGAGGAAACAGGAGATGACTTCATCAGAAAGAACCAGGGTGAAGGGCAACCCCCAGCCAGCCACCGCGGAGCCAGGGCCGCCACAGCCTCGGAGGCGCAGTTTATTTGACAGGCCCGCGCAGCCCTCCCCCCTCCCGCCCGCTCACCTGCGCGCAGGTCCGCTCGCCCCGCGCGAAGCTGAACCTTGGGGGCGGCATCGGAGGCGGAGCGGACAGAACTCCAGGGCTCGCCTGCAGCCAAGCGTTGGACTCCTCATCCTCCCGATCCTCCGTGTCCTCGGAGTCCGTGCTCGCCGGAGCTTGGAACTCGAAGTTAGAGTCTGAGTCCAACTCCCGCCCCGCCTCTTCCACCTCATCCTCCGTCACGGTCTCAGGCGAGGATAATGGCTCCTCCAACGCCGTCGCCTTCTCCACAGTCGTCTCTTCTTTCTTCTCCTCCTCTACAGCCGCCTCCTCCTCTTCCTCCCCCTCCTCCAGCTCGCCCGGCCAAGGCAGATCCTCAGGCTCCATGTTGGCGTGTGGCTCCGGGCGGCTGAGGAGGAGGGGGAAAGGGGCACGGAGGGGGCGGGGATGCGAGCTGACTGGCGGTTGCGGTCGTGCGCAGGCGCAGATGCCACGGCGGGGTTGAGCTAGGCGGAGCGGTGCGAGAGCGCGCCGGTTGCTAAGGACGCCCTGCGAGGCAGGCGGGAAGGCCCTAGGTGGGAGGATCGCTAGAAGCGTCGCGGTCCCTTTGCTCCCGTCACTGGCTGGGATCTTGCTCATAGTATTGTAAGCTCACAATAAACCCGGACTGGGGTCCTCTTGGGAAATAGAGGGCTCCTGCACAGGGAGAATTTAGCCCCAGTTTTTTCTGCTACACAAAGGAGAGATCAAACCTTAGGATAAACCCAAGATAACTACACTGGTAAATGATAGATTTTTAAAAGATTTTAGAGTTTAGTGCCTATTCTACAGTAAGTACATATAGAGGGCCATGACCCTTACAGTGGAAAAGACAGAGAATTGGGGGGAGGGAAGATTAAGTTGAGTTGTGGCATCAAAGATGGTTGAACCTCGGTGTCACCACTTATGCGTGACTTAATAACTGTAAAATAAGGGAAATACATCTCAGATGGTTGTGTTACAGAAACTAATTAACTTAATTCCTTCAACAACCAAGGTTGTCTTAGTGATACATACTACTTACTGGTTGTACAATAACTCGATAAATGCTTACATTTCTGTAAGGCAAGTATTATTGCCAGATCAGCATAAACTCAGCAATAGTGAAAATCTGAAAATCAGACTAACGACTTGCTCTTGGGCAAAAGGGAAAAGAGAGGATAAGAAAGTAAACCTGTGGTGCCTGAAGACACCTAATACTACTAACTGAAGCTTAGAGTTGTTGAGAGCTGGGCTAGCATTGTTACCTTAATCTGTTTTCTGTTGCTAAAAACAGTATCACAAGGCTGTGAATGTTAAATAGGTTTATTTTGGCTTACATTTCTGGATGTCCAAGGCCAGGGAACCACATTTGATGATGATGGTGTTGCTGGCAGAGTCCTGACAGATAGCTAGAAACAGGTGCATATGTATATGTCTTACAGTCTCTTTCCTTCTTATAAAGGCACCAGTGTTCAATCATGGAGCTGATGACTTTATCTAATCATAATCACCTCCCAAACTCCTACCTCTAAACACTACAATTAGATTAAGTTCCTACCCTTTTAATATCTCACAATGAACGTTAATCTCCAACATGAATCTCAGAGAGGACAAATTATACTCACACCATAGCAAACATCAATATCGCACAGGGTTATTGTGTGACTGTGAAGAAGCAAGACCACTTCATAATGTTGTCTAAACAGACAAAAGTAGTATTGTTGTACAAATCACAAATCTATCAAACATCCTTCTCTTTCAGGTCATTTGTGGTCTGCAGCCTCTTCTATCAATTATTATCTAGCCTGACTATTTTTCCTACAGTCTCATTAACAGGCCTAGTCATAGAATCACCCTCACTTTGACATCCAGTTCAGAGCAAATCTCTGCTTCTTTAAATTTTACCCTTTAATCAATTAACACAAGCCCAAATCCTATAACTCTTAATAGCATTCTCTTATGCAAATACTTTCTAATTCTCCATGATACGTAGAATGAATAACAAGCCCAACATTGTGCTCCTGGTGATCATTAGCTCTCTGGAGCAGTGACACATTAAAGAAGGCAACTATGTAAGTTTTGTGCCAGTTTCAAACTTACTGTCAGTGGCACGCATTCCTAGTTACCAAAACTCTGGTTTCTGCTTGAAAACATAATACCTTTTAATCAGAGTTTTGTTGAGTGTGTTCTAGATTCTGAGCACTGTGCTAGGCTAGGGAGTAGGAATGCTGTCTTCTAAAAACCAATATCCATGGCCCAGCAAGTGCATCCACTAGTATTTCCTTGTGGTCACAGTAGCAGCAGGTATCAGATGAGACAGAACACAAGCTGATGGTTTTCTTTCCCAGAGAGTATCCTGGCCACCCACGCTTTGTCATTCAGACTCTTCCTATTTCCTGTGTTCTCTTTTGTGCTTCCCTGTCCTTATCCCTGAGAAGAGTTCAGCTTTCACCCTAATTGAGATTCAAAAATTTTGTTTCTCTAGGCAAGATGCCTTTATCATTATTATAATTATTATTTTGGTACCAGGAATTGAACCCAAGGCCTAGCACTTGCCAGGCAAACACTGTACCACTGAGCTACATCCCTGACCCCAAAATCCTTTTAATGTGGGAACAGACCTCTCCCATCACCTGAAGAGAACAGTGACTCTTAAGTATTCTTATTCCTTGACTCCATTTTCCATCATAGCCACCTTAAAGTTCTTATAGGGAAAGATTGTAGAGCATTTTGTAAACATCTGATACTGCTCTACCAACACATACACTTTTCAATTAATTAATTTTATTGATAGCATACATTTTAAATATACATAAAGATCACATTAATCATAAGGAATTTGTAGCTGTACATATCTTGAGTCTTTTTTCTCCATTCCCCTCCTCTCACTTTAACCCCTTTCCCACCTTGACAAAAGCTTTCTTCCCACTTTTTTCCTCCTATTCTTTTTTTTTTTCTTTTCTCTTCCTTCTTTTACCCCTCCCCTTCCCTAGTTTCCTTCCCATTTGAACATTTTCTTCCCATTTCCCAATATCTATTATTATACGTTTTGGTCCTTTTTTACATCTTCAGTTTTTTTTTTACACCAGAGAAACCATGTAATATTTATACATGTGTGTTCATTTATTTCAATTAGCACTGTGGTCTCAAGGTGCATCTATTTAGCTAGAAATGTCTCAAGTTTATCCTTCTTTATGGTAGAGTGGTACCATAAAGTACTATTAGTACTAAAGTACCATGTATTTAAAAAAAAAAAAAAAAAACACGGTCTAGGGATTTAGCTCAGCAGCAAAGCACCTGCTTGGCAAGCACAAAGTCCTGTGTTCAATCCTCAGTACCAAAAAAGAAAAGAAAAAAATCCTGATCCATTCATCAATTGATGGGCATTTGGATTTTTCCAAGATTTGGCTGTTACCAACTCTGCTGCTATGAACATGAGTGTGCATAGATTGTTGTGGTATGATTCTTTTAATTCTTTCAGGAAGGTACCAAGAAGGGTGATAGCTGGGTCAAATGGAACCTCTACTTTTAGTTTTTTGAGGAATCTCCACCTGGTTTGCACCAGTCTACACCCCCACCAACAGTGGAGAAGGGTTCCTTTTCTCCCAGCGTGCTACTGGCATTTATTATTCATTGATTTCTTAATAATAACCATGGTATCTAAACTAAGATGAAATCTCAGCATTACTTTAATTTATATCTCTCGAATGACCAGTGATATTGAACATTTTTCATATATTCATTTGCCATTTGAACTTCATCTGAGAAGTATCTATGCATTGCATAGATACTTTTTTTTTTTTTTTTTTGTACTGGGGATTGAACTGACGACCTTGCACTTGCCAGGCAGGCGTTTATGCCACTGAGCTAAATCCCCAGCCCGGCAGTTGCCTATTTTTTAAACTTAAGTCTTTAAATTTGGGGAGTCTGATTTTTTTAGTTCTATATATATTCTAGGTATCAGCCCTTCATCTGATGAACAGTTAGCAAAAATTTTTCGTACTCTGTAGATTGACTCTTCACTCTGTTGGTGATTTCTTCTGCTGTGGAAAACCTTTATTTTTTTTTTTTTAGTTTTAGAAAGAATAAAACAAAACAAAATGGAAAACCTTTTTTAAAAGTTGTGCAAAAGCTTTTTTTTTTTTTTTTTTTTGGTCTTTTTTTGAGATGGGGTCTCGCTATGCAGTTCAGGCTGGCCTTAAGCTCACTTTGTAGCCCAGGTTGGTCTCAAACTCGCAACGATCCTCCCACCTCAGCCTCCCCAGTGCTGTGATTATAGGCGTGAGCCACCATGACCAGCTGCAAAAGCTTTTTAATAAGAAGATTTGTTGATTCTTTGTAACATTTTCTGTGTGATTGACATGTAACTTTTATCACTCATAACACACTATAACATTTCCAGCTGTGACTCAGAAATGCTGTGTAAATCAGATAGATAGGTAGGTAGAGAGACAGATAGATAGATATAGTTTATCTTGTATACTGACTAAGATTATGGCAAAGGTCCTAGCTAAAAATGTTAAGCATAAATTAAAGATTGATGTGTTCAGAAAGAAAAACCTACTATTATCTGTAATAGCTGTCAATTAAGGCAGAAGCCCAGAAGGTGAGTGAAGACCCACATGGAAGATGGGTTCTACCCATACATTTTAAACAGGGCATCTTATATCTGATGCTCACAGTTTCAGTTTCTAGCTTTCACTCCTTATAGCTGGACTACACCTAAATGAGCACACAAAAACTTTAGGACAGACAAGCCTAAATAAAGCATATCTCTATCGCCCCATGTCTAACTTGTCCACAACTTCAAGGAGCTTCTCAGGTTGCACCTGACCTACTCATATCTAAGCATCTCTTTAACTTGGAGCCAAGTGACAGTGAAGAAAGGAACAAGGAATATCAAATGTTGCTTTTATCACCCTCTTCCTTCTATTCCTGTTCTACTTTTTTTTTTTAACCAATAGAGCTTATGAAAGCAAATACAAAAGAAATAAGTCTTAATTGGGGCTTTGGAGTTCAACCAAAAGGCAAAGGGCAGATTTCAGAAAAAAAGTGAAAAAACTCACTTCTTAAAAATACAGAACACTGGAGACATACATACCACAAGAGGGTATTTGCACTTCCTATTTTCCCAGGTAGACTCATTGCTCATTCTTTCACTTCATTAACATTCTTGATAAAATATCAGCTATCTTCTCTTATCACTTAGCCTCAGATATAAAATAGCACACCTATCTCTATCCCTCCATCAACCACTTATCTGCTTTATTTTTATTTGTGCATCTATCACTAGCTGACATTATATATGTTGTCTAGTTTTGTTGCACCCACTAGAATATAAACTTTATGAAAGCTGCAATCTAGCTTTTTCATAGCTTTCGCTCTAATATACCTTGTAATTAGGCCTGTCACACAGCTGCCTTCAATATTTTTCCAATCAATGAGTAAATAAATGCT